TCAAATATATATAATTTTTATATGTTATTCACATATGAATAACATACAAACTTGCATATTTGGTTTTTTGTTTTAATAATCATATACTGAGAAAACATATTCATATATGAATATAACGTGCTAATTTAGTTCATGCATTTCATCAAACAGTTGGAGTGCATACAATTTAACTTTTTTTAAAAATGTTAGAAACATGATATTTTGACTATTTAAATCTACAAAAGAGTAGATTGATAGAGAATTATATGAAATTTTTCAAAAAAAAAGAACGATTTGATATTTTTCTAACATCAACTTTCAAGTTTTATTTGATAATCGATGTTGAATGAATGATATTAAGTGGATTTTTGTTGATTATCGATGATGTTGATCTAATAACGTTGGGAGTATAATTAATCATAGATGTTGAAGATCTGATCGTATTCAAGCACAATTGAAGTTTGAATTATTAAAACCAAAAACGAATTTTTGTTGCTAACTGTTGAATCGAGTTGATTATTGACGAAGATCGATGATTGATTAGCACTGGATGATGTTGATTATGGTTTAATTGAAGAAATCTGGATGATTGTTGAAAGTTGGAGAATAAATTTGGATGATGAACGATGAATGAGTTTGAACTACAGATACGTATTTGAGATTGAAGGTTGTTCTCATATTTACAAGTTTGCCACCGTATTTTTTTATGCTTGAATAAAATGAGTGGCTGAGAATGATTCCCCCATTCTCAACCTTTTTTATTTTCTCAATTGATATATATATATAATATATATATATATATATATATATATATATATATATATATATATATATATATATATATATATATATATAGGGAAGAGTGAATATACCCTTAAGGGTATATAAGCTTAGGTACCCAAACTAACCATATTATATCGTTTTATATCATATATATACATTATAATTGTCCAATGTTCTTTTAATTCAACTTTTAACTTGATCTAACTCCAAGATTTTTAAAAATTTTACATTTATCTTCATTTTACATAATTTTCATTTTTAACTATAATATATATAGCTTACTAGGTCTTCGGCATACATATGTGATGTAAGAGGAAGATAATAGTGAAATTTTAAAAATTTTGAAAGTAAATCAAGTTAGGTGTTGAATTTTAAGACATTATAATGATTATATCAAACAAAATGATGTATTATGCTAGGTTTGGGTACCTAAGCTTATATACCCTTAAGGATATATTCACTTTTCCCATATATATATATATATATATATATATATTATATATATATATATATATATATATATATATATATATATATATATATATATATATATATATATATATATATATATATAAAGAAGCAACCACGGTTAGCAGGTAGCTACAGGAATCAGCAAAATAAAACAAATCTAGTTACAAATACGTTATTTACATAACTATATTTCAATCCTTATTCCTTACAACAGTTTTAATTGTCACCAACAATAATGATGTGATTATTAGCAACTCTAGTTACAAATAATTTAAATGATCACAATTATTGAATATGGGTATACATCAAAGTTATAAGTGTGGATAACAAATAACTTTTTGTATGATAAGTTCTGTCCATTACTTTGATATCAATCTATAAATAGTTAATATATTAATTGTAATTATAAAAATATAATGTATATTAATTTGCCTAATTGATAAAATAATCCATGGTTATATGCATTAAAGTTAACTATATGCGATTTTTTTAAGAAGACATTTGACCATCTTATTTTCAACTATTTTTTATTTATTTAATCGGTTTGAATCAAAATCTAATTAATCAACAAATTCAAGTTTTCTTTTAGAATCGACAAATACATTATAAAACGGACCCCCTAGCAAAAAACTAGATTGGAGCCCAAAATAAAAGACGATACATAGTAGTTTATAGTTACAAATCGAAAAAAAACAAGGACATTCACCTAATTACAAATTATCCCATTAACCCTGTGCTTTAACTACGTATACACCACAAATTTTATGCTTTCTTCCCCATTAGAAGGTGTGGTAAACATCTGTTGAAACAACCTCTCGTTTCTGTATCATCATAAATTTCAAAGCATTCTGTAATAGATGATAGACAGACGATCACGTTTTTTTGGACATCTTCCCCAAGAGGCTGCAAATTATAGTAGATTGTGCATTAAAGTAGATGGTCGAAATTCAAGTAGATGGTCGAAAAGAACTTAGTAACGTATCAATAACGATGTACCTTTTTTTCACCCATATGATAATAATTTGAAACCTTGCCGGTAAACAATTGTGAGGTAGTTATTAGCGTCTCTATTACTATAAATAACATTGAATGACCATTTATTAGATTATTTAGAACATTGAATTGAATGATTCATTTATTAGATATGAGAAATTTATACAAAGTTAGAGATGTTAAGTAAAATCGGTATCTGCTGTTCAAACAAAAAAAAAAAAAAGGTAAAATCGGTATTTGTTATTTATTAGCCGGTTTTTACTTTTACCAAACTACATCAATAATAAAAACTAGAGGGGAATTAGGCGGGCCGTTAGCGCTGAGTTTTATTATTATTATTATTATTATTATTATTATTATTATTATTATTATTAATCTTGTCAGCAAAAACCTCATCTTATAAAAGTCAAAACACTAGTGTGACATCCCTAAAATCATGGTCAGAAAAGACCGGTTTTTGTTTATACTTTATTTCAAAATCAGAGTAACCTTTTAATAAAAGAGTTGCGGAATTTGTTCCAAAACAATAATATGATAAAGATTTATCAAAAGCATTTCCTTAGAAATGTATTTCATTAAAAGACTCGGGATGTCATGTTCGATATAGTACATAAGTATAAACAATACAATATAAGTCTTACTACATTATTTCATATCTACAGGCCTATATCCGTAATCCCTCATCCTAACACATCACAACTATGCTCGAGCGCCACTACCTGTAATACATAAAACTGAGTGGGTCAGGCGTGAGAGCCTGGTGAGCACATAGGGTTTTCAATCCACAATAAATAAGTTTATTAATTTCATCAACCAACAATAACCCGATTACCCGTTCTCGTTATCCTCACATTACGTCCCTAAACACCTATCATAAGAGACCTATCCTAAGGATCATCATCGGGATGGACACTACTGCTAAGGGGGTTCCTTAGCAATAAATGTCCTAAAAGCAACCATGTGGGGGATGGAGTACACCGGTGAACACATCGTTCACAACACCTACAGGTTGCGAGCCTGCCAGCGTTCCACTGGATTGTCTAGAAAAGTCTGTGGTCGTCATCTATACTCCGCTAGATTACTAGATCAACAACAACAACATCAAAGCCTCTCATCATTTTATCACACATCACCTATTACATCTACCGATGTTTTACCCCAACATTTTCGTAGATATAAAATCCATATACAGTTTAAATCATTGAAAACATGTATAAAAATGTTCATCCAGCATAGATAGCAAGTATTCAGATAATACGCACACATAGTACGTAATTTATATAAAATACTTCATATCTATGTGTAAGCTGAAAGTAACTATGCACTCACCTGAAAAGGTGGTGACTCAGCACTCGGACAGCACTTCGATACTCTCAAAACAATTTTCCTTCGATAAAACCTAGTATCAATACCATTAGGGTTTAGTCTAACGTCAACCGCGACTAATTAATAGTCTAGCTATTATTATTATTATTATTATTATTATATAAGCGTTAAATAACACTCAATATAACTTATAATAATAGCCCAAATAATTATTTTAAGGACCTAATAACATTACTATAATTATTTGAAAGCTATATTAAAAATTACGTAAGCGTAGCTCACTTACAACGGATTTTAAAGAAAACCGGGCTTTGCTCGGAGCAGCGTTTCCGAAACCGAAAGACCCTTTTTCTCGGGACCCCGGGAGCCTCGGGGCTTCTTTAGGGTGCTAGGGGTTTTATCTAGGCTTAAGAGGGGTTAGGATATGCTAGAGAGAGAAAGTAGTGAGATAAAGAGTTGATTTTTGGTGTGAGAAACCGAATGCCCTCGCACCCCTATTTATAGGTGCGAGACATCGCACTATGCTGGGCGTAGGTTCGCTCTACGCGGGGCGTTCATCGGATAAGGCTGTCAGATGGACTCCAGCTGTCTCGTACTCGGAAGGGATAAGACCGGAGGAATGCTGGGCGTTCCCACTTCGGACGCGGGGCGTAGCGAGGAGTAACGCGTTGCAAATCTGGGGCGAGGCTGATCTCCATCGGATGGCTGGGAATGTGCCACGTCATAGATTTCGCTCCAGACTTCGCAATTTCGAATGCAATCTTTAAAAATTCGTAACTTTCGCGTACGAGCTCCGTTTTTGACATTCTTTATATCCATGCGTAGGCGGAAACATACTCTACAACTTTTGTTTAGACTCTGTCGGCTAATTTTGACTTTATTTTAAATTTTATACTTTTAACAGGCCGGGACATGATTGGTCCGTTTTCGCCCATCTTTTTCTCTTTACGCTACTCTTAACGAGATATTCGATTCTCATTTATGTCGTGTTGACTAAAAACCGTTCGATCTAATATTCGAACCTCGGGTTGTACATTGCTAAGCCAAAACTTCGAAAAATCATAACTTCTTCATACAAAGTCAGATTTAGGCGTTCTTTTTATGGATGCTCTTGGTTTAACGTGTTCTACGACTTTCGTTTAGATTGCTAAGGATAAATCCCGCTCTATCGTAAATTCATTATTTACGCTTCTCGGTATCGTGCTGGTTCCGTCGCCAAACAAAGACGGGTCATAACTTCTTCGTTATAACTCGGATTTCGACGTTCTTTATATCCCCGA